ATAGGTTCTTTAATATTATTGGGTTCTAAGAGTAGGCAGAAATCTATGCTGTGCTTTAGATATCTTAGTATTCGTTTGACTGCTTCCCAATGATACATAAGTGGCTTACTTACATGTCTAGATAATAAATTAAGTGGCAGAGCTATATCAGGCCTGGTCCAATTAGATATATACAAGAGAGAACCAATAATTGATCTATACAATGTATTGTTCTCGAATTCAGGCGAAGATTCATCCATATTCCTTAAAAAATCAGTCTGCATAGGAGTATCGCAAGGTTTGGCATCTCTTAAATTGCATTTTTCCAGAAGTTCTATAATTTTATCTCTCTGAGATAATTTGAATCCCTTTCTTGTCTTATTGATTTGAACTCCAAGGTATTTGTTTACCCTTCCTAGCGACTTTAAAGAGAAATGTTCACTTAGCCTGGATACAAATAAGTCTTTCTTTTCTTTATGTTTGCCTATATACAAAATATCATCCACATAGATTAACACAAATTCTAATGATTCACCTTCCTTTCTAACAAAAAAGCAATTGTCTGCAGTTGTGGCTTTGAAATCCATATTTTTAAGCACGCTGACAAGACATTCATACCAACGCTTGCCGGATTGTTTTAATCTGTACAAGCTTTTGTTAAGTAACCAGGTCTCATCTCTGTTTGTACATTGGCTATGAGGTGCCCTTACATATATCTCTTTGTCGAGTTTTGCATGTAAGTATGCAGTCTGCACATCATATTGAAAGACATCAAGATTGAGTATAGCCGCTATGACTAAAGCTGTCTTAACACTTTCAGTTCTTACAGTGGGAGAGTATGTGTCAGTGTAATCCTCAGGATATTTTTGAGCGTAACCTTGTGCGACTAATCTAGCTTTATATAATTTATTACCCTCTTCTAAATCTTTGATTTTGAATATCCATCTGGTGCCTATAATTGTCTTGTTCTTAGGTGCAGGGACTGGTGTAAATACACCTAATTCACGCAAGCTGTTCATTTCTTTTGTTATGGCTAATTCCCATTTTTCTTTTTCTTCCATGGGAAGTTTTAACACTTCCTCGTATGTGTTAGGTGTTGGTATCTCGTCATTCACACACATTATATAATCCTTATACTTATTAGGTAATTGTCTTCTGTTACACCTGATTGTTCTTATTGGAATGCTCTCATTATCGTGTAGATATCTTGCTTCCTTTTTGGTTAATGAATCTGTTTTTATCCTGGTGTGGTTACCTGTCCATGTTTTGTTTTTGTCATCATGTGTGTTATGTTCATGTTTCTCTCTTTCTATTCTGTCTTGTTGTTTAATGTTTGGTTTAGTATTTTGGATTATCTCGTTAAGATGTATCTTAGACCAGTTGGCCTGTTCATGAAACACTGCTGTTCTTGAGACTATGAATTTGTTATTACTGTCAATGAATCTATATCCTTTTGTGCCTGTTTCGTATCCCATGAATCTAAGCCTTCTGGATACGTTATCTCCCTTACGTCTTAATTGTTTTGGTATGTGTACGTCTGCTGTAACCCCAAATATGTGCATGTGTGAAATTTTTGGTTTTCTATTGTACATCACTTCGTATGGTGTTTTATTTAGTATGCTAGACCAGGTCCTATTTTGGGTATAGTTTGAATATAGTAATGCTTCTGACCAGAATTGTTTTCCTAAACCAGCATCTTCTAATGTACATCTAATCATGGTTTGCAGTGTTGAGTTCTTTCGTTCTGCTGTACCATTTTGAAAAGCAGAAAATGGGCTAGTCGTGAAGTGTAGCATTCCCTTGTCTTTTATCCATTGTGAGAATTCTTTAGACATGAATTCGGATCCCCTATCTGTCATGATTTGTTTTATTTTGATATTGTGTTGTGTTTCTACACGTTTGTGAAATTCTTTGAATTTTTGGAAAGTTTCATCTTTGTGTTTCAAAGTATAAACAAATCCATAACGGCTATAGTCGTCTACAATAGTTAGGAAATATCTTTTTTTGTATGTGATGGATGGTGTTAATGGACCAACCAGATCCATATGTACCAGATCAAAAATTTGGTTAGAGGTTCTTGATGCCCTTTTTGGTTTTGGGTTAGTTCTGAGTTTTGATGATTTACATACTGAGCATTCTAAATAGTTTTTACAATCCTTTATTTTAACGCCATCAGCATGTTCAATCATTTTTTGTATTACAGGGAAACTTGCATGTCCCAATTTTCTATGCAACATGTGTGCACATTCATCATGAATTGGTTTGCCTATATTGGGCCTTTTGTTATTGTGTGTATCACTAGTGGGTGTGTCTTTGTGATTATAGTGAGTTTTGGGTTCTTCATTGTCATTGTTGTTACTATGTTCACTGTCTATGTTAATGTCGTCATCAGTATTTGCATTAATGTTATGCAACCATTTATCTTCTGTTACAAGAAAGGGTAGCCCCCCTTCGATAATTACACTATTCAATTTAGTCCCATTCTTTTCTAGTATTGCTTTTCCTCCAGAGAAGATTATGTTTATGTTGAAATCTTGGCTTAATTTCACTGCACTAAGTATGTTATGTGATATTTCTGGTATCAACAATACCCCCTCTATTTTACCTAAACCAGGTATATTTACATTTCCTTTCCCTATGACTTGAACATTTTCTTGATTGGCTACTCTTATCATAAATTTATCATTTGTGAATGAAGACAGTATTTTCTTGTTATTTGTTGTATGATTAGACGCCCCTGAATCTATGAGCCAAGCATTATTTTTTGATTTTTGTGTGATGACATTGTTATGTTTATCTAATCCATTTAATGATCCTGATTTCCTATCCCTTGAATTATCTCTATCCTTTCTGCGTTCTCTGTAGTTTGGGGAGTCCCTATATCTGTATCTATCAATAGATGATTGCCTGTCTTGATATCTACCCCTAAAGTCACGGTTTTGTCTTTCCCTATGAAACATGGGGCAATCTCCCTTGTTTGACAGACTTTCTATGGATAAGTATCCTAGATTGATTGAGTCTAAGTGTGATATGTAGTTATCCCATGATGAATCTAATGAGTTAAGGATAACGCTTTTCATTGTCTGTTCTGATATTATTTCTCCTCTTAGATGTAATTCTGCTCTGATTTTGTTTAAGGATATTAAATGTTCACTTATGGTGGTTCCAGATCTTAATTTGGCTGTAAAGAAATCTTTAGACATCCTAGTGGTTGTTGCTACACTTTCACTGTGAAACAATTTAAACATGCATTGAATTATTTCTGAAACAGTAAGATTATGCTTAATACTGTAGTACATGGCAGGTGATATGCTAGAAATTATTAAATAGAATGCTCTGTGATGCAGGCAGTCCATTTTTAGAGTCCAAGGTCTTTTGGGAGGATTGGTTATAAAAAATAATAAATTTTCTTTCATAAAGACAACCTGAATTTGTTGACACCATTCCTGTAAGTTGATGCCATCAATTCTAAGTTTTGGGAAATCACTGGGTAGATTCCCAATATTATTATTCCCACTACTTACAACTGTGGGTAGTCCATGGTCCTGTAGATGTTGAAAATTGCAGAATGGTGTGGGTATTCTGCTGATGAGCTTGAGAGGTTCTCCTTCTTCATAAAGTTCATTGTAGTTCTCTGTGTTCATCTGCGCATGCGCGTTGGTCATTTCTCTGCTGAAGCCGCTGGGAGAGGTTCTCTTTGCTGTAGCTCCCTCGCAGTGCTCTCCTTCTGATGATTCGGTTTCCGGCTCGATCTTGGGTGTTCTGCTGGCAGCTGTGGTTCGTCTCTTCTCTTTGGAGCTTTCTTGCTTGGGGTATTTTGTTCTTTGGATCGTTTGCGGTGTGGGGGAAAGTTCGCAGGGCCCTCTGGGTTCAGGCGTCGTCATCATCGTTGTCCGGATCGAGTCGTGCAGGCTTTGAGGTGTCTGTTTATTTCTTCGTCTCTTTTGTATTTTTGCATTATCGGCTTTTATCGATTCTTTTGAAATTGTTAGACTTGTGCCAAATGTTTTAAATAGTTTTCTCATGGGTGTTTCGATTTCTTGTTCGGTGGATGATTCTTCTGTATCTGTTTCTGACTCTTCAGAAGAATAAATATATTTTTTGTTATTTTTTGTGTTTTTTCGCGCCAGAGTTTTTGAATGTTGCATTCTGATTGGTTCAGCCGTGTTCATTTCTGTGACCGGTTGAAGAAAAGATGGCTGCCTTTCAAAATTTTGAGCGGGACCTCTGGTCTTGCTTCTGGTCATTTTTTCTTTCGTTGTAGGTTCGCTCACCATTTTTGTATTTTCGGGTTTGGCTTTTTCAATGTCTTTTTCTCTCGCTGCTCCGTTTTCTTCCAAGAAGCCTCGGAGTTCCGCGATGAGTTTGTGGTCATCTTTTTGACTTTTTATTAGCCTCAGTATCTCCGATCTGAGGTCTTTGTCTTTTATTTCGTTCTCTTCTTGGTCGTCGGTTTCATCTGCTGTTTCTTCGATGTCTGTGGTGTTATCTTCAGATTCTTTGATTGTTATATTTATTGGTTCGTCGATCATTTCGTGATCTGTTTTTGTTTCTTTATCATTTGCCCTGGTGTTGGGTCTTTCTTTTTTGTTCTTGAGGTTTTCTTTCTTAGGCATGTTGGATTTTATTGAGTCAGTTCAACCATCGACTGCTACCAGTTTGTTACAATATTTTGAGGATCAGACTCAATAATGAATTCAGAAGTATTTTCTTCAGTTAAAGAAGAGTTTATTCATAATAGGCATTCTACTTATTCTGTCAGGTTTTACAGTGAGAAGCAAGCATGAGGTAAAAGCATTCTCTATTTATATCAAAGGGGAGGAGTCAAGGATGGGGGTGATTACATATGAATACATTAAAGGAGGAGGAATAAATTAACTCTTAATATCCTGTACATATATACATATCTCTTGTTATAGAATAAGGCATTTACTTATGACAAGTAGACATTTTCTATCAGCTTGAAAGACAAATCTCATGCAAATGCCATTCTTATAGTGTAGTAACACAAATAACAGAAGGGGATTTTGCATATTTATTTTTATCTTCCATCACCTTGACAAGGCAAACACCTGTTTAGTTATATAATGTCTTGATCTCTTGTATTTAAAATATCTTTCAGTATTATGATCCTTGGTAAATTAAATGATTGTAATGAGGATAACCTGAAAATAAAGGAAAAGATCATATCCTTTACATACAACTGATAAAGATAGTCTCAGTGCTAAAAAGTCCAATTATCTTCCAACTTTGGCTAAAGCTGTGTTAAGCATTGCTTACCAGATGAAATTGAAAAGAGGTTTTAATTTGGCTTGTTTATAAAATTAGCTCTCCCAGGTATATATTTTCAGCAACCAGTGAAACTTTTAAAAATTTATCAAAGAAGTGTATGTGAGCTCCTTTTTGAAGATACGTTCACACCAAATGATACTCTTGCCTATTTTTAATTGAAGTGCATTAAATGATTATTGAGAAGATTTTTGAACAATAGGTAAAAGGACTTCTTGCAAACTGCCTGCGAATATATTATATATCCAAAATAATTATGGGGCTTTCTTTCTATTCTCCTTAGAAGGATCACTTTCACTGTCAAAGTAGACCAAACCCCTCTGGTTTACCAGTCATCATCCAGCTATGACTAATGAGATGTTGGGGAAAACATGTGATAAAAGATGCAGATATGGGGGCAGAATAAAAAAATATTCTGATTTTAGATTTTATTTTATTTAATTTAGATTTTATTTAATTTATCCTTATTGTGGATAAATTCTATCCTTGATAAATATAAAACAAAGCAAAAGAAAAAAGAAAAGAAAGAAAAGCAGTTACCATGCTCGCATCTTTATCCGATTACCATAATTGCAACTTAATAACAGAGTATTACATTAAATGTTAAATAAATGGTGTGTTCCTTGAATGAATATTTATATTAGGTGCATTTCATTTGATACCAGACCTAGAACTTGGATATTGGTGGTTTGGTTTGGTTTTGCGTTTGCTATATCATTTGTTATTTTATAGACCTTCTGTCATGTTTTTCAGAATAGAAGTATCCTAGAAAAATTTATAAGGCATTTGCTTGTTATTAATATTCATTCAGGAAAAATTCAAGATATTACCATATTCAATAGATCATATTGTTCTCTAGCTGTTCGGAAGCTTGTCAACATATTCAACAAATGGTACTTCAGAGTGTTGTTCTGTGTACTTACTTCCATAATAATCATTAGCAGCGAGACCAGAAAGAGCTGCTGTGGATCTTGCTATAGAGTTATGCTGAGCTCAATGAAGAAATACCTGTCAAAATATAATGCAAATGAATGATATAAAAAGCTTTGGATCAAAGGCTGTAAGTCTCTGAATATCTGAATATAGACAATACATATTTAACTTGTCAATAAATACCCTGTTGGAAGAAAACCTACCATAAAAAATTAATGACTAGTGATCTTCTTGGGGGTCTGAACTGCAAAATGGAACAGTTGCCAGGGGCAACAGTCTTGGCCTTAACAACAGTTGTATCAATGCAAATACACTTTAATCTGTTGATTAAGCTAATACAATCAGTGAAAATAGATCAGCATTGGATACTAAATTCATAGCTCTTCAAGTTGCCTAGCAACATAGACCAGTGTTGAATATATGTTACATTTTCTTCTCCCATTCTATCACCCTCTCAAATGTTTAGAAAGCAACTACTACACAGGGATAATAAAAATACATGTTACTCTTGGTTTATGGGCAGTAATTGACTAAAATGCTGGTTTGCTTATTTTGTGAAACACATGCTATTAAAGAGTGAAGGACTTTTTCAATTGGCAGTGATATAATGTTTTAAGCTCATATTATCATGGTTGGTGTTTCTGAGGTGAACATATTTATGCCAAGGTACTATCAAGGTTAATGCTTTCTAACCCCGTCATTCTAAATATTTAATCTATATATTCTAGCATGAAATAAGAAATAGCTATAGGAAAGATTCATAAATGAATGAATAAAATATTGGAATAAGAAAATGGCTAAACACACATATAGGAAGAGAAGATTAAAGGTTGGCAGGATATCGATGTATATGAAAAAAGAATATATGCTTAACTTTTAAAATCTTCCTTATAATTCATTCTTTTTCCTGGCTTTTAGAGGTACCAAAGTATTGTTCATGTTATATGGTACACAAAATTCATTACATTATATTCATTGCTAGTACCAAAATTACATTAACCTAGTTGAGAACCATAGCTACATGTGGTGGGCTTGTAATAAAATTTTATAAAAACAAAATGAAAATAATGGCTATGTACTGACTTTATGTTTCTTTTTTATTAAAATCATCTAAAGGTAACATAGAATGAGCTGGTAGGTCTCTGTACTATCTTCTATATTTTGTCAAGGATTTAAAAAATTGCAAGATTTCCATGATTTGGATAATCATAAAATAGCAATAAGATTGTGTTGATTTTTGAGATTTCCCTTTTAACGGTTTTTTTTAATCCTATGTTTTTACTTGATTATTCTGTTCTTGATAGTATATACCACCTGAATCATGTGCCAAGTAGCAGAAGTATAGAAATCAATTAAATATGCAAAGTAATTTCCCCAATTTCTTTCCCCTCCTTTTTTGGGGGGTATTTTGAATTACACCATATGAAGTTTTGCAAATAGTCAAACTAATATTAAGTCGAACTAAAATTAAGAAATAGGAAGGGATAGCAAAGCGAGTGCGCACACCAGTTCTGCGCATGCGCAGAGAGTATTTGATAATGTCTGGGAGGGTGGGTGAAGCCCCCCACTGCCGCTACTACCAGTTCACCCGAACCGGGGCGAACCGGTAGCAACCCACCACTGATGTATAGCCATAGCAAAGATTAATTCTTGTGGGAAGAATACCCCAAAAGGACAGTGCCAGAAACCTCATAGCACCAGAAACCTCAGAAAACAGTGCCAAGAGACTCAAGCCAGCCCTTCCCCCTTTAAGAAAACCCCAAGCAAAAGCACCAGCTGAAAGGAACACTTAAGTAGAGCCATTAAGATAAGGGGAATCAGGCTAAAAAAAACTCACCTGGAACTTCCCTTTTTCTCTTTCCTGACAGAATTAACCCCCAGGATAGGAAAATCAAAGCCCCAGGAACAGGATTAACCCATTAAGGCAGGAAGACAGGATCCACAGCAATCACTTTAACTAGAGGCACACAAATAAACCCATCAAGCTGCAGGAGCTTCAAAGGGGAATTAACCATAAAAAGCACAGATTCACACGCCAAGCTGCTTGCAAGCCAGGAACACTTGAGCTGTGTCACTACTTTTTTTGCCTTCCTGAATTAAAGGATCCCTTTTCTGGCAGCTGACTTTCATGTCTATTTCTTCTCAGCATCGATGACTGCTTCCCAACTGGGAAACAAACACAGGAGATTTTCTTCCAACATTCTCAATAGACTCCTCTTCTTGTTATTCAAAGCTTATTTTTTAAAACTTTAGATAAAGTAAGAAAAAAATGAATTGTTCTTTTTACAGGAGAGAAGGGGGGGAGTTGTAGCTTCCGTTTTGATATTTAAACAAATGTTAGAAGGCTAAATATTTGTCAGAGTACATCTTGGGTTTTTATCCCAGTGAGGCTACATCAAGACAAATGCTAGCCACAAGCAAGAATAAGCTAGCATTTATCCTTTCTTTCCCCTCAGAAATCAGTGTGATTGGAGATGGTACTACCTTTTTTAAACACAAGAGGTTTGTCTAATCTTTAAAAGGCTTCTTTCTTGAGAGACACATGCTTGATCATACAACATATGGGTTTTTTTTCTTTCATGTAATAATTCTACTGTACTTAATACTGGAAAGCAGGAGTAGTCTTTGTCTGACTAACAGCGGAAATGAGGAAAAGGAACTTGCAGTTCTCGGTCTATTTATTAGAAGAGAAATATTGTAAAAACAGAGCAGAATTTGGTGTATGTGTATTTGAGGTGGGATGCAGGCAAGCTACCAAAAAATAACATGAAATTTGATTATGGGATGGATTCTCAGCATTTGCAGAGAAAAGAATTTCAGAAAAAAAAATCACATAGCACGTTCCTATCGAGCAGTTACCAATGTTTCTCAGTCTTAGCAACTTTGCAAATATGTCCCAGAAGTGCTTTTTCAAAAGGCAACTGGACTTTGTTTTTTCTTGAGGACATTTGGCTTGTCATCCAAGAAGCTTCTTCACTTCTGACCTTTTCATCACACCCATTTGCATTATTCAGGTGATCCTGAGGACACAAATAAACCTTCAGGTAGCCTCAATGATGCTCAGAAAAAATGTTGACAAGCAAATGACTACAAGGAATATAAATCCTTCCATCCTCCACCATTCAGTCAGAAGTAAAGAAACTTCTTGGATGAGAAGTGAAAAGTCCTCAAGGAAAAACAAAGTCCAGTTCCTTTTGAAAAAGCACTTTTGGGACAACCATGACCTGGATGAATGAGAATCTCCTTAGATGTTTCCAAACATGCTGACTGAGAATTCTTGGAGTTGAAGTCCATGCATCTTAAAATTGCCAAGTTTAAGAAACGCTGAGTTAGGCAGTGGTTGTGAATGTTGCCAATTTCTCTTGTGTAAGTCTGTCCCTCTTCTCCATCATATGACCTAAAGTAGTGGTAATATTGAGAACATCCTTTCTATACCTTGACATTCTTCTTAGCTGGAGTTCTTGTTGGAAAGTAATTAGGTAAGATGACTTTCTCTGTTTCTCAGTTAGGAAAAACTTAATGCAACGCCTAAACTATTAGCTTTGAAGTTAGTAAAATCGATTTTTTCTCCTCTAAATTCCATCACAGTCCGTCCACATCTGACTGGGCAACCTAGAAGATCTTATATTCACAAGATGCATCAAGTCTGATCAGTATTTGCTAAATCTCCTTACCAGACAGAAGAAATTGAAGATTAGATTTCTCTTAGAAAGGTGATATTTAGAAGACTGGAGGAATTTGCTAATATTTTGACATTTGATGATTTCATGAAAGTATCCTTATTCAGGGTTGGTCTCAGAGTGTAGCCAAAAAAGTGAAGATGGAGCCCAGGACACAATATGTGTGATTGACACAGATTTTTTTAAAAAAGATGGAGCTTTGATCGCACTATTGTGGCTGTCATCTTCATTTTGTTTTTAAACACCCCCTGCAAATACCCCTGTCCCAGTAGTGGTTTTCACTTACCTTTGCTACCAGTTTGGAACTGTGAGCGCACATGCGCGCTTGCTTCACTCGCATGCGGCACTTCTGCGCATGCACAGAGCGTCCGTCATGATGTCCGGGTGGGTGGGCGGAACCCGAACGGGGGCGAACTGGTAGAAACCCACTACTGCCCTGTCCACATTCATAATGTTACTATCAAAAGTGTTTACATCAGGCTAAGTAGAAATTGTACTGATACATCTCTTGGAAATTCTTAGTAGAATAAGGTTTTCTGACTTTTAACAATGTGAGGACAGAAGCAATTAAAACTTTTGTGCTTGAAATTAGGTGGTTGAAAAACAATGGTTAGAGAAAACCCAAGCATGGATTAGTTATAACTGTTATTAAATTATTTCAGGAGATAATGCTGAGCAAATACTTTATTGTTCAAAGATTAGTGTATTTTTCTCTCTCCACTGAAGCCTTTGCTTTGCACTTGACTTCCTTTGCTAAATTTTTGGAAACTCATTAAAAAAAAAGTTAGAATCATTGAGCCTGAAATTTATCTCCTCCTGGCTTACCTTATGTACTGAATTTGTGAAAGCTGTTTAGCCATACATTTCCATTTCTGATTAGAATCTGATTCATATTGGCAGATGTATGCATTTAATAGAGACATAAAGATAATTTCAGCACAGCAGTTTATTTTATCAGCACATATAAATACCTTTTTATTGTTTTGTCTGATACTTGATAGTGTATTCCCTGCTTTCCTCTGTGCCATTGTTGCATGACATTCTGTTTGGCACACCGTTTATTTTTAGGCACAAGACTATCAAAGTGTTTTTTTTTCCCTTTGTGGGATTGTCAGTGATCTTGAAAAGGAGTCACATTACTTAGCACGAGAACGTTCTTGAAACAAAGAAGAAACATTGGATAAATGGGAAATTATAAATCTAGACCAACGCAAACTTGTACTGGTAATTTCTTTTGCTTTTTTAAAAAAAAATAAATACGACTGCATTATTAATCATTCAGTTTAATTTGCTTCTTGGTTCTAATGCCAGGTGTTTATTGTTGATAGTCTAAATGAAGAATGGCATAACTCAGAAACAGACTTTCCTTTCAGTTGAGAAGGATAGCAGAGTCAGGATGATACTGATTTAGCTGAGATTTTATAAACGTTAAGCTATGCAAAAAAGTACAAATTTTCAAAAAAAGTATGCTTTGTGCTTTCAGTGTTTATATAAACTTATAATGGTCTATTATATAATTAAATTATTTATTTCTCAAATACAATTATTTGAGTAAATAAATATCAGGTTAATACTGATTTAGCTGAGATTTTATAAAAGTGAAGCTATGTAAAAAAGTACCAATTTTCAAAACAACATGCTTTGTGTTTTCAGTATCTATATTAACTTGTAAGGATCTATTATTATATAATTAAATTATTTATTTCTCAAATACAATTATTTGAGTAAATAAATATGAACACATATTTCTGACCTGGAAGAGAAAACTGTGATATATATTTAAAGGGTATCAATCAGGGATTTTTGTCATAAAATTATGATTTCAGATAACCGAAGGTATTTCTGTCAAGATTTGTATATCTTTCTCTTTTTAACTATAGATGAGTGGAAGAAAAAAATTAGTGAAGCATATGCTATAATCATTGAAAGATTAGAAGATGACCTGTTAATCAAAGAAAAAGAGCTTACAGAGCTGAGGCATGTTTTCAGGTAAACAGTTTTCTGAAAGTTGTTTATTAAATTGTAAATTGTGAATCAGATTTGTTTTTAACTTCCATGGTCATATATTGTTAGGTTTAAGGAGGCCATTAAATTACTCTTAGAAAGCTAAACTAGACAAAGAATATAGAATCTGATGTTTGATTTGTTTAACTGTACCTCACACTGTATAATAGCAATACAGGTAGTCCTCAACTAATCACTGTAATTGAGCCCAGAATTATGGTTGTAAATTGTGCCGGACATTAAGCAGTTCACCACATAACCACAACAAATTTGACTTCCTTTTTGCAGTGGTTGCTAAGTAAATCACTGCAAGCATTAAGTAAATGCCATAGTTGTTAAACAAATTCATTTTCCACAATGGATGCTTTTGCTGGAAACCAGAAGTAAATGCCACTCTCCAGAAAAAATGTAAATCGTGGTCATGTGATCATGAGACCCTACAAAGGCCATAAATGTGGGCCGGTTGCCAAGCACCCAAAATGTAATCATGTGACCGCTGGGTGGAGCAGCCATTGGAACTTTGAATCTGGGTTGTAAGTAGCCCAGGGGAAGTCTGTTGTAACCTTAAAAGGTCACTTAATAACCAATCATAAGTCGAGGACTATCTATAATGAGTAAGACTCGATATGTATTCACCAAATCTATATAGACTTTCTCTCCTCCTTCACACAGATACTTCTCTCACAAACATTTGTTTTTATTTTATTTATTAAATTTGTTTGCTACCCATATTTTGGTGTACAACATTCATGCATAATTCTTTTCTTTTTGTCCTTTGTGATATACATTCAGATATGAGATTAGGGATTGCACAGGATTATTACTGAATTAATCAATACATCCTTCTGTATTTTCTTTGGCTTTTAGAAATTCCACAGATGCCATAGTAGATGGTGGGAAGCTATCCCATTAGTTTTGTTTCTAAAGAGCTTGTCCACGTAGAGTGACATGGCTCCTATAAAGTTAAAGGAGTTAAAATTTCTGGGCAGAATAATAATTTTAGCTGGTTCCTCTTCAGATCATGTAAGTTCTCCTCCAGTTATAACTACAAGGCATCTTGAGTTTTCTCTTTTCCATTTTCCTCAAAATAGGAAACCCGCTTTTCATATTGTTTGCCATTTATGTTTTATTCAAGTTTTGGTTGATGATTTATTTGTGAATTTGAGCAGTTTTTAAAAATGCAGTGTATTTACATGCAAGTCCACGGAACATGAGACTTCACCATACAGTTAAATGCTGCATATTGAAAGGGAAGGGACCTCAGAGAGTAAATTAATTAGTTTGACTTTTGCTATGACCTGAGCTGTCTTCATTGTGTGTATTTGTGGATTATTTTTGGCAGGAAATCTATGCTACTCATCTGCAGGAAATTATTGGATGTGTTGGGTAGTAGTAGTAACTTCCAGTATAACTTTCAAAACATTGTTTAATAATTATGAAGCTTAAGTTATATGCACATCTGCCTGTCAACCTGGGCCCATCATATTTTGGGGAGCAGAGTTGTTGTGCAGTTGAGCCTCATGTCCCCCATTTTCTTTTGCTATTCCTGAGACTGTACAGGTAGTCCTTGACATATGACCACAATTGAGCCCAAAATTTCTATCGCTAAGTGAGACATTTGTTAAGTGTATTTTGCCCCATTTTATGACCTTTCTTGCTACAGTTGTTAAATGAATCACTGCAGTTGTTAAATTAGTAACATGGCTGTTAAGTGAATTTGGCTTCCCCATTGACTGTCGAGCCCCAGCTGGGACTCGCCATCGCTGGGGGCTGGGGGAGTCAAAGCATCGGTACTACCCACCTGGATGCCTGGGATGGTGGGGTAAGCTCCACGCGGCAAAAGGCTAGGTCCAGCGTTAAGCAGCATGAAGCCTTGGCGAGATTGGCACAGCTTTCAGAGTCTGAGTCGGCGCTGACCTATGACGTTCGTGGAGTGCCGACAGCATTGACGGGTGGGATTAACAAAACTGCCAAACAGCTGATGTGGGGGGTGTGGGTTGCGTACCGGATGATAGTTTAAGAGCCGAGAAGGGAATAAATAGCGCTGCATGGCGATTGCGTGCAGTACTGACTAGATAGAGCCGAGATTGACTTTACTAGTCAGAAAGTCACAAAAGGCAATCACATCACCCCAGAATACTGCAACCATCATAAATATGAGTCAGTTGCTAAGTATCTGAATTTTGATCATGTGACCATGGGAGTGCTGCAATGGTCATAAGTGTAAAAAAACAGTCATAAGTCCCTTTTTTCAGTATTATTCTAACTTCGAACGGTCACTGAACGAACTGTTGTAAATCAAGGACTACCTGAATTATGTGCATCGGGGTAATCGGATTGAAACAATAAGAGATATTAAAAACAATGTTGTATGTCTTAATTTCATTGCTTTACAGTAAAGATGATACTTGGATATCAGAAAACTGAGTGCTAAATGTGGACATTCTTGCTTGTAGCTCTGGAGAAAGGATCAACATGTTTCTATAAAATGAGTGTTTCTATAAAATGCTGTGCAGGAAAGAAGACAGAATGGAGCATAGTTTGGCTTTCTTCTGTGCATGAAAGGAATATTTGAGTTCAGGAAGACAAATATTGGACTTTGCTTACAGTCAGCCCCTGAGTAGCATGCAATGTGTTTGTGCATTTGGAAGTACATTATTGGAATGAATTTAAATGATAGCATGGCATCATTTATATATTATATACCCTGTTTCCTCCAAAATAAGACATCCCCTGATAATAAGCCCGATTGGATTTTTGAGCGCATGACCATAAGGCCAAGCGCTTATTTCAGGGTTCAAAAAAATATAAGACAGGGTCTTATTTTCGGGGAAACACGGTATTATATATCGTATAGAGGGGTGGGTTCTAAATTTTTTTACTACTGGTTCTGTGGGCGTGGCTTATTTTGTGGGCGTGGTTTGATGGTCATATGACAATTCTTTAGGATTTAGCAGAGGTACTGGTCTACCAGGCTTTTAACTGCTTGCAGAGCTGTACTGGTCTACCCATTTGTTCTTGGAGCGTTCTGGTCTACCCATTTGTTTTGCAGGCACCGGTCTACTCATTTGTTTTTGGAGGCACTGGTCCACCACCACACTGCTTTTTAACACTGATCAGCTGTAGGGCTGCCCTTTGAAGCCCCGTGGCAAGAGTTTAAACAGTTTTTTTCCTTCTAGCCCATCAGCTGGGACTCGGGAGGCAGCAAATAGATTGGGGGTGGGGCCAAATAAAAGGTAAGAATAACACGGGGGCGGGCGGGAGGGCCCAGCTCCTGAACAAAGAGAACCGGTTCGGTGATGTCATATCATCACCACTACCGGCTCAGCCGAACCGGGCCGAACCGGGAGGAACCCACCACTGATCATATATGACATCATCATAGGTGACATGATAGCAATATTCCAATATTTAAGGGGTTGCCACAAAGAAGATTCTCCAAAGTATCTGAAGGCAAAACAAGAAGCAATGGATAGACTCTAATCAAGGAAAGAACCAACCTAGAATTAAGAAGAAATGTCCTGACAGTTAGAACAATTAATCAGTGGAACAACTTTCCTCCAGAAGTTGTGGATGCTCCAACATTGGAGGTTTTTAAGAAGAGATTGGACAATCATTTGTCTGAAATGGTATAAGGTTTCCTGCTTGAGCAAGGGGTTGGACTAGAAGAAGTTCAAAGTTCCTAACAACTCTGTTATTCTGTTAAAGAGCTGCATAGTGCTAAATGGAATTTATATACACTCACTTGGGTTAAGTTTTGTTGAACTCATGGAGCTTGGTGTCGACACATCTAAGTTTGTGCTGTGATCTCATTGTGGCCAGTGGCAGGATTTCAATTATTTGAAATGTGTTCAATTAAGGCCAGTGATTAGGGAATTAGATTCTGTTGAAAGATGCATGTTTCAAGGGTAGAGAGGGAACATGTGTAAGGTAACCAATTTTAATCCTGAAAGCAGAAAGGAAAAAGAATCTTGAAAGGGCAAATGTGTGTTTCTTGCCCTTGCAGAAGTATCTTATGAAAGAAAAACTTTGGCCCTGTACAAAATGGCAGCAACTGTGATGAGGCCAAAATGGTAAATGCACATCATGATCCCAGATTGTGGAGATGTTATGCTTAGGCATTTCCATTCTAATGTCTGAAAAAAGATAGCAATTGCATGGTGACGTCATTGGGCACATTTGATCATTTTTCACCACTATCCCTTGCAGATAGCCGTATGATTTGCACAGTGTATGCAAATACCTCCATCCGACATACAGCTTGAATTTTGTTTCTGAACCCTAAAAGAAGACAATTCAACCATCAAACAAAACATTTGTAACTGAATCTGGAACCAAGTTTGACATCTCAGGAACAGTTTTCCCTAAATCTAGATTGAGAAATATATTTAAAGAATGAAAGCTGACCAAAGATACTTTACAATAACTAGCTTATAAATAAGTTACAAAATAAAAGAAAACATTTCACTTTCATTACAAAGAGAAATCAGGCCCTAATTGAGTATTATTCATTTGTATTTATTATTTATTATTAAAACTTCTGTGCTATTCCCTTCAGACTGAGAGCTCTGAGAATTTGAATAGTAATTCTAATTTTGAGAACCTGGGGTTCAATGCAAGGGTGCAATATGATGATAATGATAGCGATGATGATGAAAACAGAATCATAACTATTATCTTTTGACAATATCAATTCACTCCATCTAATCCATATGAGTTTATTAGTAATAGCGGGAATCATTTGAATATACCTTCAATGCTGTTGTTTATTTTGTAAAAACTCAAGTAATAGCCAGAGGGGGGAAATATTTAATCAAGTATTAATCAAGATAAGCCTGAAAAAATTAAGAAATTCATATATACATGAAAAATGAGATTTTCTATGCAAGTTGAACATTTTTGTAGAAAAAAGGCAGTGGAGAATAAAATCTATAACGTTTTTTTAAGTGACTATAACATATGGGTTTATAGCACAACAATGTACA